TCCTACGTATGTATGTATGTATGTATGTATGTATGTATGTATGTATGTATGTCTGTATGTATGTATGTATGTATGTATGTATGCATGTAAGTATGTATGCATGTAAGTATGTGTGTATGTATGTGTGCATGTTTCGTTAGTTATTTAGAGTAGCTAGTAGAGGCTTAGGATCATTAAAGCATAGAGTGATGAGACATGAATTATAAAGAAATCAACAGTTGCTTCGTCGGTATGTTTGTTTGTTGTTTGCTTTTGTTTGTTTGTATGTTTGTGTTTGTATATTTGTGTATGTTTTTGTTTGTTTGTATGTATGTTTTCTTGTTTGTGCACATTTTGTAGCGATTATGTTCTGAAGAAATATTTATTTTATTTCTATGTTTTAACTTTGTGAAAAAGTTTGATTTACAATCTCAAAATAAAACATGCTTACATACAAACAAACATAAATACATAAAAAACAAACAAACCTACATACAAACAAACAAACATACAAACAAACATATATACAAATATTTTTTCTTTTATTATTCGATGGTTCTTTCACTAACTCTCAGCGTACAGTTAATCACAAAATAGCAACGATGATGTTTAATTTTACTTGCCTGATTTTTTACTGCTACTACCACCACCACTACTACTACTACTACTACTACTACTACCACCACTAATACTACTATACTACTACTAGTAGTAGTAGTAATAGTAGTAGTAGTAGTAGTGGTAGTAGTGGTAGTTGTAGTAGTAGTAGTTGTTGTAGTAGTAGTAGTAGCAGCAGTAGTAGTAATAGTAGTAGAAGTAGTAGTAGTAGTGGAAGTAGTGGAAGTAATAGTTGTAATAGTAGTAATGTTTTAGACAACAGAGCACATGTAATTATGTTTTCTCGTTAAATTATCGTTATTATAGCATCTTTCGACTGACTGCCATAAAGCTAACCAGTCAATCACTACCTAGCAATAATAATAATAATAATAACACGCAATAATTTAGTACAAGTTGTGGTAGTAGTGGTAGCAGCAGTAGCTGCAGTAGTTGTTGTAGCAGTAGTAGTAACAATAATAGTAGTTTTATAGTTATATGAGCTTTGTTGTTGAAAAAATTACTACTACTACTACTATTACTTCCTCTACTACTATTACTACTACCGTTACTACTGCTCCCACTACTACTACTTCTACTACTATTACTACTACTACTACTACTACTACTACTACCACTACTACTACTTTTGCAGCTGCTGCTGATACTGATACTCTAAAAGTATAAGAAGTAATATAAAAATAAAAATCACTACAGCATCATCAAGAACAACAACAACAATAATAATAATAATAATAATAATAATAATAATAATAATAAAACAACAACAACAGACATTTCAAACAACGCGTTCACTTTTCAACGCTTTTTAATAACTGCAATCCAGCGTTGAAAGGTTCCTTCAAACATTCATCATTATCGTCATCATCTTCGTCGTCATCATCATCATCTTTGTCATCGTCATCATCATCATCTTTGTCATCATCATCATCATCGTCATCGTCAACAACAACAATAACAACATACAAAATACCTACTAAACGATAGAATGTTAAAATCGTCAGACTGACTATCATACAGTTAATAGTAAATAATTAGTATTCAAATGACGTCACTCCCGCCAGCGAAGACTCATCATCATCATCAGCAGCAGCAGCGCCCTCACTGTTTCTGTAGAATCATAACCATCATCGACGTATAGCAAAGTGAAAAAAATGGTTACAAATTTTCACCAATTGGGGGCTAGGTCACAATGGTTCTTAGCCATTGAATGTAAAAATTTTAAATGTCAGGGTCGATTTTTTATGCCTCATTGTCAGATCATAATCATCATGTATATGCTTGTCCGTGTGGGTGTGTGTGTATGTGTGAGTGTGCGTGTGTATATATGTGTGTGTGTGTGTGTGTGTACCCGTGTGTATGTATTCTTCTGTATGTGTAAGTAAAGTTGTTGAATAAGTGCTATTATTACATTGTTACTGCTAGCATTTCTAATGTTATCTTTTATCTTGTTATCGTCATTGTCAGTTTGAAAATATGCATACACACACACACAACACAGACACACACATACAACACACACACAACACACACACACAGACAAACATGTCACACATTGGTATCTATTAGAAACGGTTGTACACAAACATATACTATGTCTACAAAGCATATACAACAAAAAAATACAACAAAAAAAGACAATTTTTGTATTGCATACATATTAAGGTGTATACTCTAATAGTATAAATTGTATAAATATTTCAGTACTCAGTTGAGTTGTACTTGAGTCGAACTCAAAAATCTTATTATTGTTACAGAGGAAAAAATTTTTAAGGTGTTTCAACTTTAGTAATAGAATATTGTAGAATATTGTTGTAATATTTTATAATAATAATTATAAATTCACCTTCAGCCATATTGAAGCAGTTGGGTTAGTTAGAATCATTGAAATCTTTATAATCTTTTAATTTTTATTTCACCTTTAAGACGTTTCAACTCAGCAACTACTACAACAACTACTACTACCGCTAGATACCCAACTACAAGCCACAACAACTACAGCAGCTACGACTTCAAAAAGATGAACCAAGCAGCCAACATTGAACGAGCTGCAAGACCAGCACGGTTAAATTTTGGGCCCCTATGCATTGTTTTGATGTATACCCTGCTGAGTCTCTGCTTCTACATAACATGTCGCAAACTTATTTTCGTAGAAGGGGCTGACCCTACCTGGGTGGTTTTCATATTCTCAGTGTCAGTCTTTCTGCTCGTGTTACTGTGTGTTTCGCACTATAAGGCTGCTTCTTGCAATGAGGTTTGTCTGTCTGTAGTGTTGTCATTTTTTTTGTCTCTTCGTCTCGTTCTCTATTGCTATTTTTAATGTTTTGTTGCTTTAGAAAAAATACAACAGAAGCTACTTTAATACAAATGCAAACTATTGTATAGCAATGCGAATGTTTGATACAAAAATACGTACAAGTGAATAATTAATACATACACACAACACACACGCGCGCGCACACACACACACGCACACACACACGCACGCACACAAAACAGAACTACGTCAGCAGACTAGATTTCAGGGAAGAGATCAATCGAATAATGAGAAGAACAGCCTATGATAGTTCAATAACCATCCATCGTTGTCTCATCTGCACCGGCTTCAAATCCTATCGAACGCACCACTGCAGGTTTAACAAAATAGTAACATTGGAGGCAGAAAATATATCCTTGAATTAGGCAGATAACAAAGAATAACAAGAATTATTATTATTATTATATTATAATAATAATTATTATTATTATATTATTATTATTAGTATTATAATAATTGTGATTATTGATGATATGCGACTAAGCGTATGTAAAAAGTGTGTCTACAAAATGGACCATCATTGCACATGGATCGGTAACTGCGTTGGCCTCTACAACCTAAAGTATTTCATGCTACTTAACGTTAGTATTTTACTATAATTACTCATAATTATTATTAATTATAGTTATTATTATTATTGTCATAATATTGAAATTATATATGCCTTTGAAATAGCGCAGAATGGCTATGGCGCCTGACAATGCAATGAGATCCCTAGCTATGATGGCAATTTAATAGGAGTTTAATTTTTATCGTTGTTGTTAATATTATAATTACAATTATCATAATTATAATAATTATTATAATTATTATTCAGTTATACACGATGCTTCTTTCGTACATAACCAATGCTCTCCTCGTCGGAAAACTCAAGCCAATAATTCTGGAACTATCTAAAAGTATTAATTATAATAATAATAATTATAATTATAATAATAATGATGATGGTAGGATGCTGACGCTGCTGCAGCAGCTGCTGCTGATGATAATGATATCGATTGATGATGATAAATAAGCGTAATAGCAACAAGAATCAATAATAAAAATAATAATAATTGTTATTATGTTTATTATTATTATTATTATGGCAAAATATTTTCACTCCAAAACACAGCAAATGCCGATATAACTGCCCATCTTTACGATAATTATATAGCGGAGCTTTTTCTTGGATTTTTCAATATTCCAATGACGGTTTTGTGCTTCTTTGTCTTGGGGAAGCAAATATTCTGCATCTATTACGATATAACCGTTGGTGTTGTTGCTGTTGTTGTTATTATTGCTATCGTTGTTGTTATTATTGTTATAATATAAATAATAATTATTATTATTGATGCTTTTTTGGCCATGTATAATACTGACCAAATCACATCAAATCACATAACTTCATGTTAAGCCATGGCTTACCACAATCTTTAATGACGTCATAATTATTACGCCAGGCATATTTGTTTATGACGTCACCGTGATATCGTAACATTTTATAAATTATATTTTTTATTATAGTCTATAAATTATATATTTTATTATAGTCTGTAGAATTCAAAACCAACGAGCGTCCGATATATGAGCGGAGAAGGAAAGCGATCCACAATTTTTACGAGACATTTGGCAGCCCTCTGTCCATTTCTTGGTTGTCCCCATTCCACAAGCCCAACATAGATATCCGAAAGACTAAATGTTCCGGGTTTATTAGGCGATGGTGTTGAGATTTTACCTAGTATCTATGTATTTCCTTGTGTTTGTGTGTTTGTTTGTGTTTGTATGTATGTTTGTATGTGTGTTTGTTTGAGTGTGAGTACGTTTGATTAGGTTTTAACTTTTATATGTTTGTGTGCTTATGTACGTGTGTGAGTTTGTGTATGTATGTATGTGTGTGTGTGTATGTATGTATTTATACTGTTTTTGTGTACTTTCTTCCGCAGATCTTTCGCGGTTTTACTGATCACTTTTCGATGGTATATACACATACATGTCTTATATTTTCATTGATTAATTGCCATTTTAATGTTAATAAATCCGATAATAGTAATAATAACAATAGTAATTATGATAAACAAAAGAATAATAAATAAAAAATATTTCTTTCGAGTTAATTCTACTTATATTTAAATATCAACTTGAAAAAAGTTTATTTATCAATACTTTCTATCTGTTCTCTCTCTCTCTCTCTTTCTATATATATATATATATATATATATTGGTAATAGACCATAATTTTTACAATATTCTATAAATTCTACAGAATGTTTGGCGTTAATATGTTTGTAGTTCGTTTTTTCGATTTTTCTATAGACCATAATTTTTACAATATTCTATAAATTCT